CTATATTTCGAACCCGTAAACCCTCGCCTGCTTTGTAAAATTAATGCTAATTCATAGTACCATCGTGGTAGTCTCAAATTCCAAAAAATTTATGATGTTTGATGCGATTGTGGCTGAGGTGGCCAAAATTTGATGGTTCTGTTGAAAAACCTTTTAAAAAATTACGGCGAGCTATGAAAAAGGGAAAAAAGGTGATTTGTATTCTATAAGGTTTGCTCTATCGAATCGTTATTTAAACTCCTTCTGAGGATTAATACGAAAGTTTTAGAAAATCGTGAAACCTTGACCATCTCAAAAAGTATAGGCCGCAGATTTTGGTTATTTTCCGAAAGCTCGTTGACCGCGTTGCAGCCTTTTCATAACCTTTAGAAAGAGGATGAAATGCTGCATCGAACGCTTCTAAGATGTTTTGGGAATCTTTGTTCCGTCATATGTGGCGCCCGTTTGAAAAAAGCGAAATTACTTTCGGAATGACCTAATATTTATTAGGTGGGTGCAAAAGTTCGTTCGCCAGTTTTACAAAGAATCATAACTTTCTTTCTAGTTGATGAATTTCTTTTATTTTATATTCATCTGAAAGAGGAAGTCTTTCCCTTTGGCAGTGCATTTGCTATGAATTGGCGTGCGAATGTTCAAGGTTTAGAAGCCATTGAAGAAAATTACTCATGATTGGCATTTTTCAAGCAGGGTCACAAAAAATTCTGGAAGTATTTTCATTCGATAGAGAAAATTTTGCTCATTATTATAGTACTTTTCTCATGAATCAATACGAAAAATATCGAAAGTTATAAGCAAATAAAGAGAAATACTTTAGTTTTGCGATTTTTGAACATGCTCAAAAAGGCATGAAAATGTCACAGGAGAAGCCGTACAATCATGAACATAGGTTTTATAACCTTCTCTTTCTAGCTGAGCAAGTTTCGAGCTAATCGAGAGCAATTTTGTTTTTCGTGAAAAGGCAGGCCCGAAAATCCGAAAAAATCACGAAAAACAAAATTGCTCTCGATTGGCTCGAAACTTGCACGCTAGAAAGAAGAGGTTTTATAACCTATGTTTATGATCGTTCGGCTTCTCCTGTGACCTTTTTATGACTTTTTGAGCATGTTCAAAAATCGCAAAGTTGAAGTAATTCTCTTTATTTGCTTCTAACTCTCGATCTTTTTCGTATTCATTCATGTGAAAAGTACTATAGTAATGAGCAAAATTTTCTCTATCGAACAAAAATACTTTCAGAATTTTTTGTGACCCTGCTTGAAAAATGCCAATCTTGAGTAATTTTCTTCAATAGCTTCTAAACCTTGAACATTCGCATGCCAATTCATGGCAAATGCACTGCTTCAAAGGGAAAGACTTCCTCTTTCAGATGAACATAAAATGGAAGAAATTCATCAAGCAGAAAGAAAGTTATGATTTTTTGAAAAACTGGCGAACGAACTTTTGCACCCACCTAATATATATATATATGCACAATGCATCATATGATAGACAATTCTTCGCACCTCCCTTTATCACAGGCTTCATCAATTCTGTGGCAAAGCAATACCATGATGTTTTGAAAGATCACGGATTGCTGTAGATGTTGTTGAGGTAAATGTTGGTGGGTGAGTCATCGCTGGCTATTCGTGCCGCTACAGTTCCTTGACCGTCCTTTTTAAGTCGCTCCTCATCGCAGTTGAAAAACCCCTATATAGATCCTTCAATGATCTGCAGAATATCGAGGTGAAATAAGTGATCACCACCCAAAGACTGTCACACAGCATAGTTTCAATTCTTCGGTCACTGCGATCCTTCCCCAAAATTAGCTGTGCTAGCTACTGCTGTGGGCGAAAATCATACTCCAGAAACAAAGATGCTTCTTCCGAGCATGATTGGCAACAAAATGTTCGCAGAAAAGAAAGCAATTATATACTTAGCTATATGTGAAGAAGTGCCTTGTGCCTTTCGGCACTCGTTCTTGTTAGGATAGTTTCGTACCTCTAAAAGGCAAGACTTTGAGGCCGAAAGTTCTTTCAGCATTTCTACACCTGTGGGGAAAAATCACGTATAATTCAAAACACGGACTTAACAGAACAGTACCGAACTTTTTTGCTTTCTATTGACAGCAGGCCAATTAGCATTCCTCCCGTCTTATTTTACCTATTGCTTAAACGATTACCATTGATTGACCAAATACGGCTTCGCGATAGTTTCTTCCAGATGAAATAATAAAGTTTATCGCAAAACATCCGTCAACATTGAACGCACACGCCTCAACGCTTGTAAAACAGTCTCACCATGAAGACGCTACAAAAGATTTTATCTTTAAAGGCAGCGGCTCGGCAGATTTTCGACTTTGGGTTCTGGCAGACTTGAAGCTATTCCGACCCCCTGAATCACGGCATGAACTCCCCTTAACGCGAAAATGGGGGAAAACCCCGTCTTTTGAACCCCCCCCCCCCCCCTTGAGAGGGCGCGGACGAGTGGGCATAAATGTGGTGGTTGCAGGCTTTATTGTAGCGCTTAGGCGAATGGGTGGCGCCTGTAGTGGAGTATGGTAGCTCCTGATGTGTTATTAAAACACGTAAGCTGTTAGAGCTTTATTGAACAGACGACATGCACCCATTCGTGCAGTGGTAGAATGCTGAGGATTGAAGGCGTGGTAAGGTAGTGTCACAAACATCTGGGCAATAATACACTCATATCGCAGCAGGTCATGCTTATGGTATGACCTTTACGGTGGTTAAGAGAATTAATGATAAGGCGCAAGAAAAGGTGCCGACAAAGTCGGCACACTCCGGCCAGCGAGGGGAATGGACGGAGCGAATGTACATTTCATAAACATAAATAACACGTAGATATACAGAAATACTCATATTTGTCGGGATATCTTAGCGGACGTTCCTGAGCAGCTAGGCAGATAGGGTCGAAGTCCAGATTGATGTAGTCATGACAGCTGGCGTGAGATGATGAGGAAATAGACAGTGGTAAGACAGAATATCGTCGATCATTATGACGCAGTCGACTTTCATTTCTGAGCGACGGAAATACAGAGTAAGGATTATGAATTGGAAGCTTCTTACTGTTCGTAGGTTGTCGCTTCATAGTTTTGTGTCTTCCGAAAACATCATTGCATCCTCTAAACCGACGTTCTCCATCCATAATTGCTTGCGAGGTCAGTTTATCCTCTGTTGGTATGTTGCCATCCATGGCATCTCCGCGAGCCGCAGTTGTGCAGTCTTCAGAATATTGACTGAGGCGATCTTCACTTTCGTCTTCTTCCATCGTCGCGGAATCCATCACGATTGCTAGAGCATCCGTTTCCCTTTCCGCATCACGTAAAAAATGGTTGAAAAGACTGGATTGCTGTTCATCAATTACTTGACTTGATGCAAAATTTTTGTATGTTTTTGCATATACCATCTGATATGCACAGCGATAGTAAAAACATCAGCATCAGAGAGCAGTTGGTGAAAGTCAAGCTCTTTTTCAAGCTCTTCTAGCTGGAATATTACAATTTTTCTCTCGTTTTTTGACTGCTTGAGATAAAATTCTCCAAACTGGTCGACTATTGAGTCCAAAATTGTCGATCTTGCTTTGATTTGTGATAGGCAAGAAAGGAGAGTATTAAAGCTTTCAAAACATTTCTTTTGAAGCTCTCTATCAATTTCTAAAGTGAACCTGAGCTTGAAATTGTAGGAATCAAACTTCTTAAGCAGGTTTGCTAGTGCTCTTGAATGAAATGAGATTGCCTCTTTGTCAAGAAAATGTGGCTGTTTTTGAGCCGTTCGCTACTTTTTGAGCGAAAGTTGGGATTATTTAGTCCCTGAGCGTGGTGGAGAACGGCTGTCGCAATTGTGAGGCAGCGGATTTTGGGCACTAGGTCCCAAGGTTAGAATAGTTAACCTTTGTGCAGTCGCTGGGGCGAAGCACTTATCGGTCTTACGTATTTAGCCGATGCACCATAAATGTGGTGGTTGTAGGCTTTATTGTAGCGCTTAGGCGAATTGGTGGTGCCTGTAGTGGAGTATGGTGGCTCCTGATGTGTTATTAGAACACGTAAGCTGTTAGAGCTTTATTGAACAGACGACATGCACCCATTCGTGCAGTGGTAGAATGCTGAGGATGACGGCGTGGTAAAGTAGTATTACAAACATCTGGGCAATAATACACTCATATCGCAGCAGGTCATGCTTATGGCATGACCTTTACGGTGGTTAAGAGAATTAATGATAAGTCGCAAGGAAGGTGCCGACAAAGTCGGCACAGGGTCGTTTTTCGCTGCCGTCAGAGACGCAGAGTAAGGGGGTAGAGAGCGCTAGAACAATTTTGCCTTACGAAGCTATGAATGACGGCGCGTTTTCTAGCGGAGAACATACTCGTCCGCACAAGGTGTTAGGGGAGCGAAAGGAGGAAGGGGAGCGGAGCTTGGCTCGCCCCCCCCCCTGGCTTGCAGAATCCACATTTTCGGCCCGGAGTTGCTCTTTTGGTTCCCTTGGAGGGCCTCTTATCCATCTATGTCAAATTCTGAGGTAGGTCCATTCTGCCGACCCGCTGCTTTTAAGAGCCAACGGTCAATAAGAAGAGAGAAAGTTCAATACCGAATTACCATCTCGAGTCGAGAAACTATTACACATCAACAAGTCCGTCTTCATTCAAAATATTGCGACAACAAAAGCAGTAGGTAATACACAGAACTATACACACAACAAGGAACAAAAAAACTATGAAACAATCACTGCACATCAAATAATATTAGCTTGAGGTTTTGTTCTTTGCCTCTTTTCAACCGCAATTACGCATTCAATGATTCTCGTTAGCCGCGGCCTATATTCGCTTTATCCATATTTACACAGCTTCAGATTTCGCACACATTCGAACTGCGCATCTGCTCTACCAAACATTATCCGAACATTTGCGCAGACTTACTTTGGTGCAAAATGCAAATTTTTGCTTTTGTTTTCAATCAAAAAAAAATTTCTTCAGAAACTGCATTTTCCAAACTGCTTGAATGCTTGAGAAGACTAGAGTTTCATAAGTTTTGAGCATCAAAAATAGAAGAGTGGCACTTTATGACACTAGCAGATGAATATTTACAGAATAGTTGCGTCAAGCCAAAGATATGACTACCTTCGAATTACCCTAGCAGATTTAAAGAATGAGAAACAAAGTTTTTACTAATCCGTGCACAATATTAACCGACTTCGATCAGGTTAGAAATAAGATGAAACCTTATAAGAAATTTCAAAATCTCCGGCTTATCTAAAGGAGGTGTCCTACTCGTGAATCTACAGACCCAAATTTTATGTTGTCTTTCTGAATATATATTTTGACACACAATGCCTGTCTGAGAAATTCAAAAAATATAAACGCATATGCCTTGCTTGCACAGGCCGAAAGAAAGCATAGCGATTATCCTCCAATATTTTAAGTATGAAGTCTCTGAACAGCTTCTTTCGCGCGTCGTTTGGCCAATGCACCTGCAATGAGCACAATATCTTTCAACTCATACATCTCTTAACTCGGCTCATTGATACATATATCAGGCAAGGCCAATAATAAGCACAGAGTCAATATAATACTGTAAAAAACAGTGGTTCTTTCTCAAGATACTGCGAGCCTTTACCGTTGTTCACATTTGCAAGTTCGTGAAAGATAGTTGACCAATGTAGCGACAATGAGCACACATTATTGCAAGTACCTTTACCAACTATATTTCACGAAGTTCGTATCCTTCGTATCTGCCAGAGGCGGTCCCACGGTTTCGGACTGGTGGGGGGGGGGACAAAAACTATTTGTGAGTGGATTGACGTTATCCACGCACTCCAAAAAAAATTTTGGAATGCTTCCCAAAACTTTTGTGGGCCTATGACGCTCCCGAAAAAAAATTTTTACAAAACTACTGATTTTTTAGAAAATTTCAAAGATTATTTCAATTCTTTACAGGTGTAAACAAGCCACTTGCAAATTTTCAGATTTATACAAGTAACTTCCAAAAATTTCGCGACCCATTATCGTGGGAAAGGGAGAGTGCGCCTCCCCTCTCGGACCTCCACTGGTATCTGCTGTCATCAACATTTTATTTGTATGGACCTTTAAAGCTCATGTGCTTTCGGCTATTTTGAGTGAGGTAAGTTATGGAATATATGTAATCAATTCTAAAAATAACTTTTACGAATTTATCATACCTTTTTCGCAGTGATTTTCAACGGACCGTTAAAGCCTGATTCGATATCAGAATGAAAGCATTTCTGACGAAATGCGTCACGGTATGAATAGCCACGGTTTTGAATATTCTTTCCTCTTGACACCATATACTACCACTTTTTCTCATTACATTATCTTATCACTAAAGCATCCCGTCAAATGGTGTCTTCGAAGACTTGCTTTTTGGTTGTTTTTGGTGTCCTTAAACCCCTGCGACGTGCTCAGTCCAAAGTGCGATTCTGTGCTTTGGTGCTTTCAAAAATGTCCGCAACTCGTTTTTCGGTGCGAAGCCTGCTAAGCAGAGGTGCGATGGGGGGAGCCGGGCTCACCAAAAGTGAAGGAGGTCCCTGCTACCACTGGCCAGCCAAAAGTGAAGGTGGTAGTGCCGGACACTCACCTCCCAAAACGTCGACCGGGGGGGAGGGAGGGGGGGGGGGAGAGGGGGGGAAAGAAAGCACAGCTCGACGTCTCTCTTCGCAAAAAATTTCCTTCTCAAAATTTTCATAAGCTTCTTCATAACAAAAAGGAGTAATAAGAAAAACAATTTTAAAGATTACTGAAGTTCCTGGCATGGACACATCAAAGCCCCAACACTTCCCACAAATTGGGAGAACAAAGCTTCTTGATGAATTTCAAGAGCTCTAATCCAACGGTCCTCTTTAGGGCCATTAACTGTGACTCAACGGCCCTTTTAGGGCCACAAATGCGATGAGTACAACTGCATAAATATTTTAAATAAAGGTGTTAATGAAATAGTTTATTTGTGAGTGATACTCAGCTGAACTTTATATGTTTTATCAAGTACATTTTGTTATGACGTACTGCGAATAAAGTAGGTCGATCCAGGCAGTAACCGCCGAGAACCAGAATTTCGGATGATAAAATAATGAAAAATTTAGAATGATAAAATAACTGCATGAATCATGTTGCGACTTCATAGGTTAGATTCTCCTCTTCAAGAGCTTTCAGATGATATATAATATGTGGGGGATTCAATGTTTCTTGCGGCTCTAGCCCGGGGTGGAGTACTCCTCTTCACTAATTCTCCACCCCGCCCATTTCAATGTATTAGCGGGAGGCCGCCAGTGGAGAATTAGTGAAGATAGGTACTCCACCCCGGGCATATGCCGTGGGAAGGCGTGAATCCCCCACATAATCCCCCACAATCCCCCACACATCGCACCTCTGCTGCAAAGACAACGGAAACAAAGACTTGCGCTTACTGAAAGCGATCAGCCACTGCAGTTGAAATGAGTTCAGACCAGAGGTACGATAGTCGGAGCCGATTCTCCGCCTACCTTCACTTTTGAGCTGGTACAGGGTGACCACCTTCACTTTTGGGTTTGAAAATTTTTTTGCTAAAGCTCAAAAGAAGGAAAATAAGGAAAAGGGATGTAAAAGAAAGTATTAAAAGCATATATCTATGTAGTAGGTCGATCCAGGCAGTAACCGCCGAGAACCAGAATTTAGAATGATAAAATAATGAAAAATTGTGAAAAATCAGTCCACTGTTACAAATCTGCTGGCTGAAGACCTCCGCAGTTGCGATTTCATAGGTTTTGAAGGGGAAGTGTTGTTCTACCAGACAGTGAAAAAATCAGTTTGATTTGAATAGTGGCCGCCGAGAACGAGAATTTTGAAGAACCTTGAAAATCTTCTCAATTTTAGGTTGCTTAATGACAACTGACATTTAAACTCCTATAAATCCGGACTTTGAAGATGTGTGATGTTACGACTTCATAGGTTTTGTAGGGTGAGGTTTGCCTTATCAGAATATGTCTTAGCTGTACCGATCCATTGAAACATCGCCGAGATACAGGCTCTTAAAAAAGCAGGTGAAAAACCGTTTTTCAGCCCTAACTTCTTCAGAATTGCATAATTCATGTTGCGACTTCATAAGTTGGATTCTCCTCATCAAGAGCTTTCAAATGATATATAATATGTGGGGGATTCACGCCTTCCCACGGCATATGCCCGGGGGTGGAGTACCTCTCTTCACTAATTCTCCACTGGCGCCTCCCGCCAATACATTGAAATGGGCGGGGTGGAGAATTAGTGAAGAGGAGCACTCCACCCCGGGTTAGAGCCGCAAGAAACATTGAATCTCCCACATGTTATATATCATCTGAAAGCTCTTGAAGAGGAGAATCTAACCTATGAAGTCGCAACATAAATTATGCAATTCTGAAGAAGTTATGAGCTGAAAAAAGGTTTTTCACCTGCTTTTTCAAGAGCCTGGATCTCGGCGATGTTTCAATGGATCGGTACAGCTAAGACATATTCTGATAGGGCAAACCTCACCCTACAAAACCTATGAAGTCGTAACATCACACATCTTCAAAGTCCGGATTTATAAGAGTTTAAATGTCAGTTGTCATTAAGCAACCTAAAATTGAGAAGATTTTTAAGGTTCTTCAAAATTCTCGTTCTCGGCGGCCACTATTCAAATCAAACTGATTTTTTCACTGTCTGGTAGAACAACACTTCCCCTTCAAAACCTATGAAATCGCAACTGCGGAGGTCTTCAGCCAGCAGATTTGTAACAGTGGAATGATTTTTCACGATTTTTCATTATTTTATCATCCGAAATTCTGGTTCGCGGCGGTTACTGCCTGGATCGACCTACTTTCTTCGCTGTCATTATAACAAAATTTATTCAATAAAATACGTACAGTTCCGCTGAGTTTTACTTCCAAATATACTATTTGATAGGCACGTTTACTTTATATATTTATGACGCTGTATACATAAAAATATGCCTTCAGTGATCCCTCTTGCATTTGTTTTGCTTATTTTCCGCGCACTAACGGCAATGACCTGGAAGGATAGACGTTAATGCTCCCTTCCCCGGTCGACTTTTTGGGGGGTGAGTGTCCGGCACTACCACCTTCACTTTTGGCCGGCTAGTGGTAGCTGGAACCACCTTCACTTTTGGGGGGCCCGGCTCCACCTATCGCACCTCTGGTTCAGACCCTTAAGGGCCGGGCATACTTCACGCGATTTCAATCGCGACGCGATTTGGCAATCCGCCAGAAGTCTCCAGATTCAGTAGTGGCAAACTGCACATGCGTAGTATGTTTAACTTACGTGGAATTAGAATGCCCTATCTTCTGTACATCAAAAATATGCTTATGAGTTATGGACAGTTTGTACTGCCAAGGCGCGCCGCGAGTGAAATCGCGTGAAGTATGCCCGGCCTTACCCAATCGCGTACAATCGTAACGTTTTGCAGTTTCACACTCTACTCAAAGAAAAATTATAGTTGTAACAGGACTAATGCAGGTTTCTTAGAGTTTGATTTCAAGCTTAAAGACTCAGCGCTCTTGAATCACTATAACTATATATCTATACAAACATTCTTTCCATGAGTGCGTCCAATCAAAACATTTGCAATCAACAACCCTTTGGCAGTTCAGCATGCATTATAGTGTTATTAAAGCCTCACCAAGAAAAACCTAAGAACCCAAGCATTCCCAAAAGTTTTCTTGGGACTTCATTTCGAAAAACCATATTAGTCTGAATCGTAGTAGGATAGCGCGAAATTAACCAATTGTGTAGCCTTATATGTAGTGTCTGTGCAGGAGCGTTATGCTTGAATTCTGCAAAATAAAGATTCATCGCAGACTTTCCAAGAAGTTTGAAAGGACTCATTTTCTCGATTTCTTAAAAGATCGATGAATTGCATAATTTCAAATTCTTAAATTTTCTCGAAGTCGCAAAGGAAAAACAGATATGGTTTTTTCTAACTGCGAATGTAAGTTTCTTTTTTCTATACTATGAATGCTCCCCAATCATTTTGCAGTCATGATTTTCGTAGAGGGCAGAAGAACTGCAGCGATCATTTGACGCTTCGAAATTTTTCGATTAAGAAACCTTAGAAGTCATGACTAGCTTTGTAGCACAGCTACCGAACACTATGCAAGTTTGCAGAAAATTTCGATATTCTGTGATGAATTTAGAGCAAAAAGTGTCAGAAGAAAGATTTTCAAGGTTTAGTACTCTAATTTCAAAGACACCGCATTATTGAAGAAGCCATTTCCGCTTAAGCAAAAGAGTCCTTACAAAACCAAAAGAAGAGAGCCTTTAAATGATTTGTATCTTCAAAAAACGGGTTCCTTCTGAACTAGGACTTTTGAAGGGAGGTGTGAAAAAGCATTTTCTTACAGCCTAGTATAGGTATTACAAGATCCGCGAGACAATTAAGACAATGTCATTTCTCCAATGACTATTCTCGAAAAGAAATGAACAATAAAATACAACGAATATCATATAA